TGACCAGTTCCCAATTTCTGTGCTTCTTTGGAATTACAATTTCTTGTCCAGTTGGTTTACATAAGTGCTGCTTCACTTCCTCTTTTATAGCTTACACAAACGAATCAATTTTTGCAGCCAGTGGCTTGGGATGAAATTTTCCGCCCGAGAAACGCTTTTAGCTTCTATTGGAAAAAAAAAAACATGAAAAAAAGCTTTTAAACGGTCATCTGTAACACATCGAGCACTAACGTCCTGCTAATTTGGTAAAAAGGACAATTTTTTTTTTGAAAAATGTCTTTCTTTTCCTTAACTGCAACATTTCCTCGCTTCTCTCAGCCCTGGCTCGGTTAGTTCAACATCCCCGTAGGAAGGTGAAGAAAGGATGAGAGGTATAAGCAAAATTGCATATGAAACAGTTTAGCCACGTCCTTTCTCTGTTCAAAATAACATTTACTGGATGTGTCAGCGGAACTAGAAGCCCTTCGCTGCAATGCTATAACACTGCTTCGATAAAGCGCCCCTGAATGCAGCATCGGAATCGACTTCCGATGTCCCATAATATTTGGTAGCGATGGGGATGCGATGTTCTGCACCAATGAACTATCCGAAATTGATAAACACAGTCCCTGGAATTTAATAATAATAAAAACAATTTCTTCCTGACCCATTCGCAACTATGTTTAATTTAAATGACATTATGTCTTGAAATCATGAGATTTTGATTTTCGAAAAGTCAATTATTGTTATTTTTTGGAACCGTGATCAATTTTATGCAAAACCTGAGTGATATTATATAATTTAAGCCTGAAGATTTTTTCGATATGATCGTTGTATTTCATAGTGATGCCATAAATTATGTAGATGAGGAACATTGACATCGCTTCATACCATTCGATCAGTTCATCCACAAAGAATAATACCAGTGCCAATAACGCAAGCGTATAGAAGAATGTATCTCTACAGTACAAACGAACAGTTCAAACTTCAGCAGTCACAACCCTTCTTCCTTGCTCCACAAAAATGGAACCGGAAAAGGCAGTTACAAAAACTTGGCTCGTCTCATACACGAGTCGCAAAAAATTTTTGCTTTCGACAGCAGGTAGGGCTGTCCTGCAACGGATGGCAGCAGTTCAAATGTGGGAGGTGGAAGTGGGGTGGTATGTGGCGGGTTTCGTTCGAGGCAAGGGGGAGGGGTTAGGATAGGTGGGTATAGAAAATAAATGGCGTAGATCTTCGCCGGTTGACTAAGTAGCGTAACTTTGGAGGGAAGAGGGGAGCGGTGAAGAACGGGAAGGATGAGGAAGTATGTTCCTGGGGCTTCCCCATTTATGAAACTGATGCTTAGGTAAAGCTGTCCCACAAAAACCCGTCATTAGGTTTCCCCATTTATGAAACTGATGCTTAGGTGAAGCTGAGAGCGAATAAGTTCCATGAAGTGGGCAAAAACAGGGTAGAATGGATGCCTGGAGATGAGGTCAGCCTCTGCTCCTGTGAGATTTTGAAAACAAAAAATACAAAAGTATAACTGTTGTGCACAGTTTCAGGCTACAAGAGGTAAGGCTTTGGAATTGTCTACAATTCTTGTTTAGTCCAACTGGACTTATTTGCCTTCAGTTTCACCTAAGTATAAACTTCAGTAAATTCTGTCGAAATTATTTGTCCTCAGCTTCACCTAAGCATAAGCTTCACTGATTTTGCTTTTTTTCCTTTTATTCACAAATTCAGGTTTGTTTTA